TTCTCTAGAGACATAATAGCTTTTGTTAATGCCATCACCTCCATAGTCAAACTACTTGTAGTTGAGGCAAACGCCCCCTTTGGTCTTTTGCAGTTTTCTCTTGAATCAGAACCATGAAAGCCCATGAATTTTGTACGTGTCGAAAGACGGAGCTGCCAGGGTAGATAACTGTACCTCTGTCAGCGGAATTTGCAAGAATTAAGGCTTGCACTTCTGCCTCAACCACCAATGGGCCTTGTTTTCTGCAATCTCTACCCAGCTTTATGCAGACTGAAAAAAAAAATATACCCAAATCTGCGGGCACTTGTATCCATTCCTCACCAAGTTCCATGTCCTCAATTGAACAAACTTGTCGAATAATATCTTCAGCCTGACACACCCAGGATTTTCCTCTTTTCAACCTGCTACCCTTCTTCCTGTGAATCTCACTGGGCAATGGATGGTGTGTATCATCACTGATACGTAGATATGCACTGCTTGGCAGATTACTGTTCTCACTTTCATGGTTGAAAGATCAAGGAGGTAACACACTGAATGCTGTATTTGTTGTGCCTCTAAATATGATGTGCATGGCCTCATTCTGTATCTGATTTAGTCCGTCAGAATCGGCAAAGTGTACTCAGTTACAGAAAGGATCAGACCTTGGTGTAAGAAAAATAGGTGACGTTAGTCACAGTTTATCGCAGCCATAATCCTTAGCGCCGTCAAACTTTCCTTTGCCTTGATTATCACGTGGTTCATATGCTCATAAAAAGCAAGACTACAGTCAAAACACACTCCTAAATACTTTATTGACTGACTTCTCTCAATGATCTCCGAATACAGACTCACACTAGGTGTTGGTGTGTTTGTAATATGGTTATTCAGCAAAAAACCATATCATAGTTTACTCTGACACATTGACGACTGCTCCGGCTTCATCGCACCACCTGCTTATGTGATCAAGTTCTGTCTGTAGGCCTTTGGCAACCTGCTCATGGTCTCTACATTGACAGTTCTCCAAAACATCATCAGCTTATGACAATGTCCTTCCCGCTTCCACGATCTGCTGGCCAGTGAATCTCATGGTGAAAATGTTGAAAAGTATCTGAGATAAAGGTGAACCTTGCGGCAGATGTAGGTGTATGGTTACTGGTTCAGATGCCCAACTACAGCATTTTAACACAACCGCTTGAAGAGAGCCGATGAGATCCAATTAATGTTTGGGTGATATTCTCCCAGGGTAGGTGAAAGGAGGCCTAACTGCTCAAGATAGCAGAATATTTTCTTGGCAATTATCTTGTCAATCAGCTTGCCAATTGTATTCTGCATTGTGATTACACTGTAGCCATGAAATGTTGAATGGTCTTTACCAGGCTTTGGCAAAGGTATCAGGCACTAACCCAATCACCATATTTGCCATGTGTAATCCGAGCCAACCTTATGTCTTGTATGAGAACTACATCCACAAATGCAGAGAGTATGATGTAAATTTTCCTGCTTGTTTACTGAAGTGAAGCCACTGAACTGTGTTTTACATCAGACAGAAATTCAGTAACATTATGAGAGATATAGTTTCCAGTACATTCCATTCACTTAATTTGGAGGTCACATCATCAGCAACTGGCAGCTGTTAAAGTATCTGAAATATTAAACATGTTTGAAATGCAAAGTGGAGTTACATAATGCTACATTCGCTCTCCATACATGTTCAACATTATGCAGAAATATCAGAAAGTAGGCCCTGTGACAGTTTAGATCCACTCATAATTGTTGGAAATCCAATTTCAAAGCTCACATGTGCAAATTGACAAGGCCATGATCACATTCAGTGCATAGGGATTATAACAGTTAATGTTTTTTCTTAGAGGACACAGGGAAAATCAAAATCTGTTTCTGGGTTTAAATCTAAAACATTATATTGTTCACAGACAAAACTACATGCCCACCAAACATTACAGTGAAAAAAAAAATGTAAAATGTCACAAACTTTCATATTGATTGCTTCCATAACTGACAACAGTGGAGACTTCAACAAACATCTGAATGAAACTGGCTAGCTTTTCATTCTTTTCTTTAGCTTTCACCAGGTGTAGACTTCAGCTTTCACCAGGTGTAGACTTTAGCTTTCACCAGGAGTAGACTTTAGCTTTCACCAGGTGTAGACTTTAGCTTTCACCAGGTGTAGACTTTAGCTTTCACCAGGTGTAGACTTCAGCTTTCACCAGGTGTAGACTTTAGCTTTCACCAGGTGTAGACTTTAGCTTTCACCAGGTGTAGACTTTAGCTTTCACCAGGTGTAGACTTTAACTTTCACCAGGTGTAGACTTTAGCTTTCACCAGGTGTAGACTTTAGCTTTCACCAGGTGTAGACTTTAGCTTTCACCAGGTGTAGACTTTAGCTTTCACCAGGTGTAGACTTTAGCTTTCACCAGGTGTAGACTTTAGCTTTCACCAGGAGTAGACTTTAGCTTTCACCAGGTGTAGACTTTAGCTTTCACCAGGTGTAGACTTTAGCTTTCACCAGGTGTAGACTTTAGCTTTCACCAGGAGTAGACTTTAGCTTTCACCAGGAGTAGACTTTAGCTTTCACCAGGTGTAGACTTTAGCTTTCACCAGGTGTAGACTTTAGCTTTCACCAGGAGTAGACTTTAGCTTTCACCAGGTGTAGACTTTAGCTTTCACCAGGTGTAGACTTTAGCTTTCACCAGGTGTAGACTTTAGCTTTCACCAGGAGTAGACTTTAGCTTTCACCAGGTGTAGACTTTAGCTTTCACCAGGTGTAGACTTTAGCTTTCACCAGGTGTAGACTTTAGCTTTCACCAGGTGTAGACTTTAGCTTTCACCAGGTGTAGACTTTAGCTTTCACCAGGTGTAGACTTTAGCTTTCACCAGTAGTAGACTTTAGCTTTCACCAGGTGTAGACTTTAGCTGTTCATCTGCTTCTGGACTTTGGCCTTGTTCCAGAATTTGTGTCTTGCCTGCCCATCACTTTTACAGATCTGGCTTATCTGTTCTGAGACAGTTTGTTCCTTACCTTTCAGGCAGATGTACTCCGATTTCAATGAAAACTCCCCTAATTAGTTGCGTTGTACAACGTGCTTGACTGGGGGGTAGGGGGGGGGGGCAGTGGGTCTATCCTTCCCCCTTCCCAAAATGGGATCCTCAAACCCACATGAGGAACTTACCTTCACATGCATACCCTTGTTTTATTCTTCTCTCCTCATGCATCCCCCTGCCTTATCCTTCCTGCTACATAATCCCCTGTCTTATCCTTCCTGCCACAAACAACCCCTGTCCTATCACTCCTGCCACATGCATCCTCCTGTCTTATCCTTTCTACCACATGTATCCTCTTTGTCTTGACCACTTGACTTGGCAACTATGAGTTTGGAGAAAATCAATAGCTGAAGTTGAAGCCTGCATGAGCTCAGATGTTGTCTGTATGGGCTAGAATCATGCAGAACAGAAACATTTAACAAACAGAAAGTTTGCTTTACCCCAATAGGCTTTAAGTGGGTGGTACCATGTCAGGAAGGTTTCTGGAAGGATCTGTGTAAGTGCATAGGAGGTGAAGATTTGGAACTGCAATTAAATGAGAAATAAACTGTGGAAGGTACTGCAGGATTACAGAGTAAAATAAAAAACACCTTATTAAATTGTGCTAGAGTTTTTAACATGAACAGGCAATGTGCAGTTAGAGCAAATAGAGGAATGTCAGAAAGGTTCTACATTAGATCTGGAGAGAGACAGATGTGTGTTCTATCACCACTACTGTTCATCAGATATATCAACCAAATTAGCAAATCAGCTAACACCAGCGAGGGGGACAACATCGGAGAATTAATAAATGAATTGCTTATCACTGATGACCAGGCAATCATAGCATCAAGAGCAGTACAGTTACAAGAACATATTAATAGACTCCACTCAGAATGCGACAGCTATGATATGAAGATCAACATAGACAAAACAGAAGGGATGAAATCTTCTAGAAAAGGAAGAGCCACGAGTGTGAAAACTGATGAACACCAGTTAAATCAGACAAAAGGCTTTGCCTGTCTAGGGAGCATTTGTTTCAGAAGATGGAAGAATTAATAAAGAAATCCAGCAAAGATGCAATAAAGCCAATCAAGGTTTAGGCCAAGTGGCACCAATTTTGAAATACAAGCATGTGAATATGAACACTCAAAGAACATTGTTCAACACAATATTCTTACCAACCCTATGCTATCAGTGTCAAACATGGACACTGTTTTCAGAAGACAGAAGGAAAAATTGTCATGACAGAAATAAACACAACAATGTTTAATGTGATTAAAGGTTTCAGTAGAGGCACACAGGCGTGGTGCAACAAGGAAAGATCGACTTAGGAACAATGATATCAGGAGAAGAATCGGCACAGAACCAATACTGAACTCTAGTTAAGTTAGTTGAGTATCCTTTACAGGACGTTGCAGAACCAACACCAGCATTTTTTGGCTGTTTTGTTTGCTATCATCTGTTGCTGTCCCCTGTTGCTGTCACCTGTTGCTGTCATCTGTTGCTGTCATCTATTGCTGTCACCTGTTGCTGTCATCTGTTGCTATCATCTGTTGCTATCACCTGTTGCTATCATCTGTTATTGTCATCTGTTGCTATCATCTGTTGCTGTAATCTGTTGCTATCATCTGTTGCAGTCACCTGTTGCTGTCACCTGTTGCTGTTATTTGTTGCTGTCATCTGTTGCTATCATCTGTTGCTATCATATGTTGCTGTCACCGGTTGCTGTCACCTGTTGCTATCATCTGTTGCTATCATCTGTTGCTATCATCTGTTGCTTTCACCTGTTGCTGTCATCTGTTGCTGTTACCTGTTGCTATCATCTGTTGCTATCATCTGTTGCTGTCATCTGTTGCTGTCATCTGTTGTTGTCATCTGTTGCTGTCATCTTTTGCTGTCACCTGTTGCTGTCACCTGTTGCTGTCATCTACTGCGGTCACCTACTGCTAATGTTGACTTTGTGTTGCCTTTTTCCCAAGCTCTCCCACCGCAACCATCACAAGCATACAGGCAACATCGACAAGGATGAGGTGTTTTACCCAGTCCGGGAGAAAGACAACACTCACACTCACATGGCACCTGGGTTCGGTTTGGGCATCGGTTGGTTCTTGTATCTGGCTCACGGCTACAGACATCGAGTGGTATGTAGCTGAAATGTGTGCTCCATACAAAGATTCTTTTATGCCATGTGCTATGCATCACATGGTATGTATGTTCTTCCCAGTGTAGTATGTGTGCATTGCTTTGATGGCAGGTGTGGTTCATCAAGTAACAAGTGCATACCATGCATGTTATGTCAAGCAGTATGTGTGCTTCAGCTAGTGATACATTCATGTGATGTCTGCTATATCAAGTGGTATGTGAAGTTGTATGTGTACCTATAACATGTGTGTAATCTGTAACAGCTGAGCTGTATGTAAACAGTACTAGACAGAATACTATATGTTAAGAAAGCATGAGTTTTATCAAGGGAGTCTGCCTGCTTTGCATCAAATACACAACATTATTTTATGGGAATAAAGGTAGCAGTAAAGGTACACTGGCATAGCTGCTGCATGGGAGGACTAAACATGTGTGGGAATGCGTGATGTGCAGTGACATTGATTGTGATAATATAACACAACAGAACATAAGATTAAAGGTAAGGTAAAGATGGGTAGTCTACTGCACTGCAGCAAGGTTTAGTCCATCTTGTTCAGTTTCTCTCTTTAGTTTGCAAAGCCACCTAAATGACATTTGCATAAAGCACAAACACTGAAGCCTTAGTGATTATTCCCAGGGATCTCTGAAAAACACTGCTTTTTAAAACCATATGACTTAATCTGTCAGTAAGTAGATAAAGGACCCTTTTTTACAACAATGGCACATCAGCATACAAAGTTACACTTGTATATCTTTATAGACCAATCGCCACTGGATGGCTGACGTGGTCACAATCACATTGGCCACCTTGACTTTCTAGAACTTTGCTAGGTATTTATATAAGACTGGGTCATCCTAGGAGCCAAAGTCATGGGGAAAATCTGACTTGATGTAGGTTTGAACTTTAGACGCTTGGGCTGGGGGGCAAGCATCTTGTATGTATATGCATGTGTGTGTATGTGTGTGTGTGTGTGTGTGTGTATATATATATATATATATATATATATATATATATATATATATATATATATATATATATATATCTATATATATATATATATATATATATATATATATATATATATATATATATATATATATATATAGATAGATAGATAGATAGATAGATTATATATATATAGATAGATATAATATATATATATATGCAATGATTGTGCATTTTTATTAAAATCTTTTATAATGTGTACATTGCTTTGAATGAAGGCTCTTTTTAGTGTACTGTTACTTTCATAACATGATCTAAATATGTATGATTGTTAGCTGCTAATTAGTATTGCTGACACAACAAGCTTTCAACAGAGCTGCATTGTTTGCTAGCTGTTAGCTTAATTTACAACTGTTGACAGCTTCTAGCTTTCATCAGTTGCTGTTGCAGTCAGAATACCTCCTCGGCTATTAGGTGTTTAATGTCACTTTCTCCCCCACACCATCACATCACATTTTCCCAAGTGTGTAGGCACAGTAACGTTCTCCTGGCAATGTGATTAAGCTATTTGCCTAGCTCTGTGAATGTTATGTGTTCAATTCTAGACTTTGTCACTTGGTTCATTATTGGAGGTGTTTCTGAAATCACTCTAGTTAGCTACTGTAGCTATGGAGTTTTGGGTTTAGTGAGACCCTCTTGTGTGAGATGCTGACAGAGAATGATTAAACAAGCTCTCAAATGGGAAATGAATGTATTAATGAAATGATGAGGTCACAAAGGACCTCAAGGACAACCGTTGTTGATAGAGGCTAAAGGTGCTTGACTAGATTTCATCCATGATATCGAAAGGACTGCAACAGGATAGAACAGTGGAGGACCAAACTGTAAGCTATATGAGACATATGACACAACAGAATGATGATGATGATGAAGAGGATGATGATGATGAGATGCTCTTGGCAGGTTCCATGATGAAAGACTGAGTCATGCGAGATAAAACCCAGTGCAGCGAAGTGTATACATTCACCTATAATTATCTCTACTCTCAGTGTGATGATACTTACCAATACATCCATCCTTCTTCCATGAGTGCCATGGTCAGAGACTTCAGATGTCACAGGAGGCAGAATGACCTCATATAACACAGTGTGACATTAAATAACACTCTTTTACAAACCATACTGGAGAGAAAAGCCAAAGGCAAAAGTGCAAGAAGTAGACAGTGATACAAGTGGGCGGACAACATCAGCAGGTTGATGAACATCAATCTGAGAGAGTGTACAACCAAGACAACAGACAGATTGTAGCTAACTTATATTGTAAAGACAACACCTGGCTGGTTGAAAACATTGCCAAAGGAGGCAGTCCGGTCAACAAATGCCTGTAGAAGTAGAATATGTTGGCCGAAAGTCCCAAATATGGCAGCCATGCAGTGAATGGGTACAACACAGTTACATTTTTGGATGAAGGCAGAAGAAGAACACATTGCTGCAAGATTTTATCATCATTGTAATCCCTCACAGAGATGACACAGGTATTCCTGTTCCTCAACTGAACTCGGCCCTAAGTGTTTTTGATCACATTTATTTTCTTATGCGCTTCCATGGCACTGCCTTAAACTGTCTGAACCAATTCTTTTTATCTGTTTCTGCCTCTTAAACTGTTGATCTTTTCACTTTTCATAAGTTTCTCAAATTGCATCTACTCTTCTGTATTCAGTAAAAATCGTTGTACTGCCAAATCACCTGCACGTAGAACTGGACTGGGTACAGGTTGAAATTTAAAAATCTGGCAACCGCCGGACCTGAGAATGCAGATTTTGTGAAAATGCTTGATTTTTTTTTTTTTTTAATGGCTGTAAATGCTGTATATATTTAATAGAATTTGACCACCCATTCAGTCCTTTTAAGAAAGAAAGTTAAACACTAAATGAAAACCAAATGAAATTTTAATGTCACCGACTAAATGAATCAGTTCTACAGAAAGTTTTCTTCAAATGAATAAAATAGTTCCTTATAGTTTCAGTTTTTAAAAAGAATCCTTATATTTTAATTTAAAAGTCCACTATAAATTCCATGCTAAAAATCTAAAGGAACAGGATTATCAAAGGCCAGGATTTTTTTAGAGGCCAATTTGACCATCGAATTACATCACAATGTTTACACCACAGATGCTTCCAATCTTTTCCTAATAAGTAAAAAAGGTAAAGGACCCTTTTCCTTGCCTTATTTTACAGACCAACGTCATAAGATGGGTGATGTGGTCAGCATCACGCTGGCTGCCTTTACTTCCTGGCACTACACTTGGTACCCACTCAAGGCTGGGTCGACCTGGGAAACTTTTCCTAATATTCATTTTAAAATATTTCCCAGCCTAAATTTTAAAAATTTTAAAAATTGATCTCACCAAGTGCTTTACTGCTGAGAACATCAACACTACATAGCACACAACGTGAATTACTTCCACTGAAATGTATAGTTTTAGAAATTAACAGTTTAACTTGTATGTGTTAACTTTTACTTTGCTACCTCCACCACCACTAACACTGGCCCTTACCTTCAACCCAGGTTCAGCACTTTAACCCCCTGGATCCAATGTTCCACAGCCATGTTATCAACTGCACCATCTCACTAGGATGTCTAATATGTTGGTGGATGCTACTAGCTCGTGCCACTGAATCATGTGGTTGGACTGCCCTCTGCTACCACTACTTGCTGCCTGAATTGATTTTTGGCACATACCTGGTGATCATCACATTCCTGCACCACCACAGCGAGGGAGTTCCCTGGTACGGGGACAGTGTATGGAACAATGTACGTGGTCAGCTGTCCACTGTGGACCGTTCGTACGGCTGGTGTCACTACCTCATTCATAAGTAAGTTTTCATTGCTGATCTCCTGTACTAACAGTCAAAGATTTACACCATCCTGAACAGCAGGTTTTTTCATAACTGTCAGGGTGCCGCAAAATGACTGTCAAATAGTTGAAAGAATTATCTGGGATTTTCTGCTGCTTGATTCTCATCCTTGAGGTGTGAATACTGCAGAATGCAATTCTGAAGGGGAAAAATTATAAGGAAATATTCACAAAGTCAAGACCCTCCTTTCACCCCATGAGATGCATCTAGCACACAGTGCAAAATCCATATTTAAATAGCCATGTACTTGATGGTAATGTTGTAAACAGCAAGGTTAATACCCGGGTGGACAGAAAAACACCTCAAACTCATCCATCTTCCTGTCTCAAAATGACACCCTGATTTCAACCACGCAGAAATATATGGAGATACTAATGGCATTTGTAGTTCACAATCATATTTCATCCACTTATGGCTGGTAATAATACATAGAACAGAAGACAAGCACACTTATACTACAGATGTCAATCACATAATGTCAGCCAAGGACATACCAGTCATGCTTACTCACACAAATGCATGCATGCACGCACGACACATACAGAGAGAGAGACTGAGTGAGAGGAGAGAGAGACAGAGAGACTGAAAGAGAGAGTGAGTGAGAAGTCAAGAAAGTAAGGGAAAGAGAGTGAGTGAATGGGTAAGTGAGGGAGATACAGAAAATGAGTGTGAGTGAGTGCATGATTGAATAAGTGGGTGAGTGAGAGTGAATGAATGTGACTAAACAAGTTAGTTAGTTAGTTAGTTAGTTAGTTAGTTAGTTAGTTAGTTAGTTAGTTAGTTAGTTAGTTAGTTAGTTAGTTAGTTAGTTAGTCAACAGATTATCCTCATTGCACGTCGAACCACTCAGTCCAAAAGTGCTCGGATCTCCTCCCCAGTAAATCCCACAGCGTGAGCGGCTGACAACATCAATTCTGTGTTGGTTTATTTTTATTCTTTGGCTACCTGCGTACTGTTCTTGCCTGGTGACACCCCGTTAAATTTGCCATACCTGCAGTCTGACGATGGTTGCAGATTAAGTTTTCAGTTAGTTTACGCAAACGTTTTAAATCTCCTAAGGCATTCAGTATATCAACCTGGTAATTGGTTAGACATATGACTACTTAAGAAGAAATATAAATAGAATTGTGTATTAACTTTTACATTATTTCTCTCTTCTAGCATTGGAACACATCAGATTCACCACTTGTTTCCCAAGATCCCTCACTACCATTTAGAGGCAGCAACAGAATCATTTCGCAAGGCATACCCAGAGCTAGTCGTTGTTCGCAATGAGAACATCCTCATGGCCTTCTATAGAATGTTTCAGAAGTTTGACAGACAGAGTAACATTGCTGACAACACGCTGGTTCATGTATACCAGTGATCCGGTCACCGGCTTTAGAAACACAGCCTTTTTCATGCCAAATTTCTTCACTTGGCTGTAATAATTAGTTAGCATTATTTCCTTGATATTAATTTTTAAAAATAATTTTTATAGATTATGCTAGTATCTTTCTGGTGATAATTCTTTGTTGAGGAGGAAATATTAACCTGGTGTATGTTGCACATGCACCATTCCCACTGTCACATACAACATGCCTTCATAAACAGGCCTACATTGAATCAATGGTAGTTTCCTTCAAGTTAGATAAACATTCCACTAATATACGATTCCACTATCGTAACATTCCAAAGTCGTAATAATAATAATATTCCACTATAATGTCTTCACATAAATACAGAGCCTGTAAACATAGTCTTTACCAATAATCAGTCGTTACTATTATACACTCCTTACTAAAATGAATTTCTGTCTAACATACAGTCCATACTTACTTTTAATTCTTACTAGCTTACAATACCTATTAATACACAATCCTTGCTAACATACAATCCCTACTAAAATAAAATCCTCATTAACATACAATCCCCACTAACATACAATCCCCACTAACATACATTTCCACTAACATCACTAGCATATAGTTCAAACTATTATATGGATTTTACTTCATGCAGCCATAATAGTATTTCCCCACTACCATACAGTTTTCACTACCGGTAATAAATACACAGTAACTGAGAAAACAGCAAAGTCATGGCAAGAAAGATAATAAATAAATACATTATTATTAGAGATAATAGCATATACACAGCAGGGGAAGATAAACATGTTTATAGTGGCTGTTTACAATTTCTTATATTACATTTTTTATAATCTTTGACTATCTTACAGTCATTTTCTGTGTAGATTTTGTTTCTGGAGTAGTTGCTCATACATCCACACACACAAAAAGTTGCTGGTGTTTGTTTTTTCTATTAGGAATCAACATCGAGCCGGATGCAGATGATAGAGGGGTCACAGCTTCTCTTTGTTTATCTGTATGCATTTATATGAGAGAGAGAAAGAGAGAGAGAGAGAGACAGAGGAAAAGAAGAGGAAGGGGGGGGAGAGTAAGAGAGAGGGGGGGAGGGAGGGAGGTACTGGAAAGGGAGGGGGGAGACTTCCAAGATAATGGGACTGACCTATGGGCACTCGGGAGCTGCAGTAGCCCAGTGGCTAAATTCTTTATTGCTCTAGGGTTCAAATCTGCATTGAGTCATATTGTTTTCAAAATTTACCTTGGCTGCCAGGTAGACTAAGCCAAAACTTAGTACTAGGTATTTTCCTGGGAAGTAAAGATGGCCACATGAGGTTGAACACATTCTCCTTTGAGTGCTGATTGCTCTAAAGATATAGATCTAGCACTATATGGCTTCACTGGCATGAAAAGAATTCTTTACTTATTTTACTTACAGTGAGCATACACTATCTGTTGTTGTTAACATCATCAGGGCTGCTTTTACCTCCCAGGAAATAAAAACACTTGACCTCCCATCATGCACCTATTTTAGGCTGGATCCACCTGGGTGCCAAGATAATCTGACAAATCTGTCTCAGTGTGGATTCAAACCCAAGATTTTTGGGTCAAGAGACAAGTGTCTACATATTAGTGTACGTCAAAACATAAGCATGTATGTACTGTGTATGTATTATTGAAACATTAAATATGTATGTAGACACACTTTTCAAAGTGTGCATATGTGTTTGTCTGTGTATGTATGCATGTCTGCACATGAATGTGTACAAGTTTGCAAAGTGCATAGAAGCCTAAATACACATACGGAAGTAGCTGCAAGGGATATACTGCACCTTTGAGTTTCTTAGTGAGAACATTAAAATGTGTCTAGAAGAATGAACAACGAAACAAATCAACGATGCACCGACTCTGTGATAAACCATAGATTGCAGCAGTGAATCTGCCAGCAGCTAGATGTAGTAGTAGATTTGACAGGAGACCAAGAGACAGTCTAGCAGGACAGTGTTGTTCCATAGATGTCATCATGTGGACACCTCATTCTCTGGTCAATTCCTTCTCGTTATATGTGAAAAGCAAGGAATGTATAAACAAACACTTGCAGAAGTGAAAAGTATAAACAAGTTAGTCTTGTCATATTTTACAGCAGTGCTATTCAACTGGAGGTCCGCAGGCCAAACCTGGCCTATGAAAGCAAGTGGCAGCAGATCAGGGCTTTTCAACTGGAGGTCCGCAGGACAAACCTGGCCCATGAAAGCAAGTGGCTCGCAGATCAGGGCTTTTCAACTGGAGGTCCACAGGCCAAACCTGGCCCATGAAAGAAAGTGGCTCGCAGAACACTGGCAGTTGTTTTATTTTCCATATCTTTCTTTGCTGGGGCCCAGGCCTCTGGCCAGTGAAGATCACAATATCAGAGAGTTTCAGCTTAGTTAAACAGCCCTGTTTTACAGGATGTTTCATAACCAATCCTAGCACTTCTGGGGCCCATTAGTGATTTTAGAAGGCAGTATTAACATTCAGTAATGAGAAGTGTAGATAGATATTTCAACAAAGAACTTCTTTACCTGTTTGTGTGGATGGGGGTATTCTCCTTACACAATTGGGCGGAAAAGGGGGGGGGGGGGGGGAGGGAAATGTGAGTGAAGGGAATGGCTCAATCTGCCTAACCTGGGAGGTTCTAGTCCCCTGTGCCTGCCTCTCAATCTATTTTTCATACTATCTTTCTATTACACAATCTGTCCTCCTTTATATTTCTGCGTTTGTCTGCATGTCGCTGTCTCTCACTCCCTCATTTATGAAGAATTTTTTATGGAGTGATATGTGAGATTTATTTTTGTTTTTTGAATTTGCATATAGCACCGGGAGATATTTTACACTATTTTCACATTATTAATTTATTGGCTGCTTAGAATTGTTTAGTAATTGTCTGGGGGAAAAAAAGGCACCGAGCAAGGGAACAGTCACCCAAGCAAGGGAACAGTCACCCAAGCAAGGTAACAGTCCACCAAGCAAGGTAACAGTCCACCAAGCAAGGGAACAGTCTACCGAGCAAGGGAACAGTCAGCCAGCCTTGTATGTGGAACAGTCAGCCAGCCTTGTGTGTCATAACCTAAGAGATGTGAAAGCCTAGCACTTCCCATCCCAATGGTAGTAGCTTCTAAAGAACTATCTTTATTTGTACACGTTACCATGACAACAATTGTGTACTGTTATATCACTGATTGTATCCACTGGAACACGAATCCAGTGAAAACCCTCCTCATATATTAGCCACTTTTCTCCATATATCATAATCACCTTTATGTGGTGTTATACATCACATGGTGCTCATAATCTATTCTTCCATTCAGTTCCTAACAGTTGTTTCAAAGTCATGAATGGAATTCAGCCTGGCAGCGTTGCCATTTCTTAGGGTTTCTTTGGAATATCCTCTCTTCAGTCCATTTGTCTCTCATTGCAGTGATCATTTGGTGATTGTTCTGTGTACTTCTCCTGAGTATGTGACAAATATATCCGTATCACCATCTTCTTTGTCATACAGCTGTTCATACAAGCGGTTATCCAAACATTTATCTTATTTCTTAAACTTTATTTCATTCATTCCATATATTGTTCATCAGTGTCCTTAGGCATTTTTAAAAATGCATTTAAGTGTATTCCCTGTCTTTAGTTGTTCTGCCCATTTAGTATTGTGAAAACTTTGCTGAGTTTGTCTCACTTTTCTGGGTTTTTTCTTTTTCACAATAACATTATCACAATGTTTGACAAATACTCATATGTTCTGGTGATAAACTAAATATCACACACAAGTTGCTTTCACTTGAATTAAATTTTTTATTTGTAACATAAAATGATATAGCAAAGATGAAAATGTATTTTACCTTATAGCTTAGTCAGATCAAATATGTAATCTTCCAAAATAGATAGAAAAATGATGTTATTTTATAATACAGAATAAATATTTGAACTTACAGTTTTCTTTGAACAACACATGTTATGTTACAGCATAGATAGAAATCATAAATTATCTTTAGTATAGATTTAACAGATACATTATCATATAGGAGGAGCGGCTGGCCGAGTGGTTCGACTCACTGCAATGAAGTCTATGGTGACAGCACTAGCTATGCCCCCCTAAATCCTCAGTCTTGTGCACCCCCCGCCCCCTTCTGGCTACACCACTCTAAAAAGTGGTGAATACAGACAGTAGTGACAGTTATCATCTAGAACAAAAAGGTCAAGAATGAAGTCTTATAGCATAGCCAGTACACATACATTGTCTCATAGCATAGCCAGTATATTTTATCATAAATTGTTAGAAGATTCAACCATGAATGTGGAGATGGCACCTGATTGTCAGACTTGTACTGTTCTTGTTGCCGCTTGATCATTTTGGTCTCAGAGAGTTATTTCTTGTATCTACTTTATCCTTATTGTTACTGGAAATTTTCCATTCCAAGTTGTTACAGGAAATGTTTGTGAAATAGTTATTACTTAAAATCATTGTTACTTCAGATGTCTACAATCTGACTGTTAAATGAAATGTTTATGAACCTCTTGTTACTTGCACATTCATTCTGTCATAGTTGTTAATTTAAATAATAACCTGCTGGCTGTTATTTCAATCACTGTGTGGGTTTCATAGCCCCATGGTGGGGGGGGGGGGTGGGGGGGGTGGGAAGGGGGGGGACAGATCCACTGTCCCTTAACGAGCTTGTCATAAAATATGACTATTGGGTGTTTCCTGAAATCACAAGTGTTGATCTGAATATATTGCAGCCTAGCTGTAAACCACAACACAAATTGCCAACTGCCATTTAAAGGGCAAATGCAGAGGAATAAGAAATTACTTCAAATTTCCATGTTCTGCTTGTTACTTCAAATGTTCATGTGCTGGTCGTTACTTCAAGTGTTCATGTGCTGGTTGTTACTTCAAGTGTTCATGTGCTGGTCGTTACTTCAAATGTTCATGTGCTGGTCGTTACTTCAAATGTCCATGTGCTGGTTGTTACTTCAAGTGTTCATG